AGGAGTTGGAGGTTGCTGTGAGCTGTGACTCCACTAAACCCTACCGAGGGTGATAAAGTGAGACTCTGTCTCTACCAAAAAAAAAAAAAAAAAAAGAAAGGATAATAGATTGCTATTTTGTTAGCTAACAGAGTAGGGGCATAAGTGAGAAGCAAGAAAGCTAGAGCTTCCAGTCTGAGTATCTGCATGTGTGGCAGGAATCCACTCAGTAAAATATGGAAGAAGAAGAAGTGCCCAGTATTTTTCAGAATAGTTAGTTATCTCTGGTCCAGTAATACATACTACTGGCCTTGTCCAGGTTCACCAGGTATGAGTAATAAGGTGTCTGTAGCCCCCTTTCTCTACCCTAGAGGTCTGGAAGGAAAGAGGATAGTTTGTGTCTTACCATCTCAAGTTATTTATCAATCAGATAAAAAGATGGTAAGTACTGTCTAGTGAACTTTTTTTTTTTTGAGACAGGAGCCTCAAGCTTTCCCCCTGGGTAGAGTGCTGTGGCATCACAGCTCACAGCAACCTCCAACTCCTGGGCTCAAGCAAGTCTCCTTCCTCTGCCTCCCAAGCAGCTGGGACCACAGGCGCCTGCCACAACGCCCGGCCATTTTTTGGTTGCAGCCGTCATTGGTTGGCAGGCCCCGGCTGGACTTGAACCCACCACCCTAGGTGTACGTGGCTTGCGCCCTAGCCACTTGAGCTACAGGTGCTGAGCTTGTCTAGTGAACTTTTATTCTGCCAGGTATATCCGTGGTCTCACTTAATCTTCACATAACCCATCCTCTGTGAGGCATATGGCATTTTACAACTTAGGAACAGCTCAAGAGATTCAGAAGCTGGCCCATGATTACGTGCATAGGAAGTGCTGGAGATCAGATTTAAACACAGTGTGTGATTTGAGTCTAACCATAACCTTAATCCTGTTTGGGTCAATTAAGGTGGTTGTAAAGGATCTCAACATGGAGTTGTAAAGAAGTTAAATGGCAGAAGTGATAGAATAAGATGTGTATTTGAGGTCCTGAAGGAGTAGTTCACTTGAGTGTCCAGTGACAGGTATGCAGAGGATGGATATCAGAACCTGGAGAAATTAAGTAACTTGCCTAAGTTCACAAAACTCATAAGGAATTGAACCTATATCTCTGGAACTAAAGCCTGTGGGCAAAACCCCTGTGCACAAGATAGAGATCATTCTCTCCCTTATAGAGCTGGAGCTTGGAAGGAAGGAGCTACCACATGCTTGGAGAAATTATATTTCTGTAGTCTTAAGCAGCATTTGGTCCAATGGACCACTCCCTACTGAAAGCGTTTTTCTTCATTTTAATTTTTAGT